TTCCTGTTTATTAGCTTCTAATTCTCTTATATCTTCCTTCCCAGTGTCATCCTGGAGAATCCATCAATCTATCACCTCTCTCACTTGTCTCTGTTCAATGGAATCCATTTTTTATTATTTGTGTCATCTATTGAATGCTATGTTCCAGTGATTAAACTTTTCATAGCCAGTGTTTCTTTTTAATTCTTTTTGATAACTGTTTTGTCTTGCTTCATCTTACATCGCCTTCTCTTCTTTATTATACTTATTTTATATTATTAATCTGTTTGTTCCAATAGTTCTAATTTATCCTGTATTGGTTGTGCAGTTAACAAACTTTCTTTTACAGTGATGCTTCTCAGATGGCTGGTGGATTTTGTCTGTGAGCTCATTTCCCCCCGGGAGTGTCAGAATCTTGGCTTGGATTGTAACAGGGGAGGAGACCAAGACCCAGGCATCAGTGTGAGCTGCTCCAGTTGGGGTTAAGAAGGGAGTTGGACCATGAGAGGCACACACAGCCTGGGCTTGTTCTCTCCATTTCTGCCTCAAGACTGGGGCATAGACATCCTGCCTGAGTTTCTAGCTGGCCTGCTGTATGGATTTGGGACTTGAGACTGTGACATCAAGTCTCACCTGAATCTCCAACCTGCCAGCCTGCTGCTGCAGTACAGATTTTGGACTTGCGAGCTCCCACAACTGCCTGAGCCAATTTTTAAAAATAAGTCAATCTCTCTCTCTCTTTCTCTATTTCATTATATAAGCTATAATGTTGTGCATGGGCATATTTGGTTCTCTTTCTCTGGAGAACCTTGACTGATACAGTGATCATATTTGGAAATAGAATGTTTGCAGATGTAACCAAGTTAAGGTGAAGTCATTAAGGTGGGTCCTAATCCAATATGCCTGGTGTCCTTCTAAAAAGAGAGAAACTGCCACAGCCTGTAGAGACAGAGACACACAGGGATAAGGCCATGTGAGGATGGAGGCAGAGACCGGAGAAGGGCAGCTGCACACCCAGGGCGGTCGGCTACCACCAGAAGCTGGAAGAGGCAAGGAAGGATTCCATCCAGAGTCTCAGAGGGAGCATGGCCCTGCTGACACCTTGATTTTGGACGTCTGTCTTCCAGAACTGCGAGAGAATAAAATTTTTGTTCTCTTAAGCAACCCAGTTTGTGGTACTTGTTACAGCGGCCTAAGGAAACTACCACAACCCCATATCTAATGCCACACATAGAAATCCATTCCCAAGGAATTAAACAGATAAGTATTTAAAAATCCCTATACAATTATTTTAATAACAAAGAATAATATCTAAAATGTTGATGGCTAACCAGATGCAGGCATGGTGCTAAGTGCTTGACTTGTCTTCTCACTGTCAGAGAAGTGAGCCAGCCAGAGGCAGAGTCAAGATTTGAACCCATGAAGTCTATAGGAGGAATCAAATGTTGGCAAAGGGAAGGGCTCTTCTATGAAAGATGCAAAACCAAGAGACAAAATGAAGAGACGTCGACCACTTAACTACGTGAAGATTCAGCAGTTCGGTATGTCCAAGGCACCATAAGCAAGTAAACAAAGTTAGGATAAGAGACAGCGGAAAAAATCTCTTCAGTATGTCTAACAGCCCAAGGTGCTCTTTGTTATGTTAATGAGGTGACTTTTGGAAGGTATCTAAAGCAGGGCATGGGGTGTGGGGGAGTGTGGGGGTGGGGTGGGGGGTGGGGTGCCTGCTTGCCAGGAGAACCAACCATGTGATTAGAGGGATGGAATTTTTAATCCCATCCCCTGACCTCCAGGGAGGTTCACTCAGTTGCCAATGGCCAATGATTTAATCAACGATGCTTGTGTGATGGAGCCTCCATAAAACTCAAAAGGACAGGGTTCAGAGAGCTTCCAGGGTGGTGAATGTGTGGAGATCTGGGGGAACGGATGCGCTCAGAGAGGACACGGAAGCTCCACACCCTTCCCCCATGCCTTGCCCTATGCATGTTTTCCGTCTGGCTATTCCTGAGTTCTATCCTTTTATAATAAACTGGTAATCTAGTAAGTAAAATGTTTCTCTGAGTTCTGTGAGCCACTCTAGCAAATTAATCGACTCCAAGGAGGGAGTCATTGGAACCTCTGATTTATAGCCTATTGGCCAGAAGCACAGGCAACAGCCAGCCTGCACTGGCAGATGGTGTCTGTAGTGGGGGCGGGGGCAGTCTTGTAGGACTGAGCCATTAACCTGTAAACCATAGAAGGGGGTTGTTAGAACCTCCAATCTGTAGCCTGCTGATCACCTGCAGAGGGCAGACTTGTGGGACTCAGCTCTTAACCTATAGGATCTAATGCAATTTCTGGGTAGATAGTGTCAGAATTGAGTTGAATGGTAGGGAGCCCCGCTGGGCGTCAGAGAAATTGCCAGGTGTGTGTGTGTGGGGGGGGCGTCCCTCGTGTCTGAATTAATGAACAGAACTTACTTAATGCATATATTTTGTTGTCTGGAGAGCTGGCTGTTAAAAATTTGCCAGGAAGTTTTGGACAGCAATGCCTATGGTTTAAATTATAATGTTAACTACCAACAACACATTGATATGAATGAATCTTTCTCAATATAAGTGAAAAACTGGGTGCCTGGGTGGCTCAGTTGGTTAAGCGACTGCCTTCGGCTCAGGTCATGATCCTGGAGTCCCAAGATCGAGTCCCGCAGCCGGCTCCCTGCACAGCAGGGAGTCTGCTTCTCCCTCTGACCCTCCCCCCTCTCATGTGCTCTCTCTCTCTCTCATTCTCTCTCTCAAATAAATAAATAAAATCTTTAAAAAATATATATATAAGTGAAAAACTTAAATCTCAAAAGATTAGATAAAGGATGATAATCTTGTTATAAAGTTAAAAGTAATTTAAAAGTACTGTTTAAAGAAAACATGTACTAATGTCTATTCGCATTCTTTGTTCATTTTAAATTTTTTTTTAATTGTTGACTTGTAAGAGTTCTTTATATATTCAGGACACTAGACCCTTATCAGATTTGCAAAGATTTTCTCCCATGTGGGACTGCCTTTTCACTCCCTTGACTCCTGGACATTTTTCCTTATCCTCTTTGAAACTTGAACTAGGAGTCTCCCTGGAAGGAGATTTGCTCTTTAGTCCTAGTTTCAGGGCACGGGGGAACCCAGGAGTCTCAGAAGGGAGGAAACAGCTAACCACTGAGTCTGAGGAAAGCGGTAGTTTTCAGATGAATGATAATGAATTAAATAAAAGTTCTGAATTCAATCAGGAGCCAGTTTTGGCATCTGTGGAGATTCAGCTGGCTATGATGACAGCCAGAGACTGGAAATGTGGTGCCCTCAGGCGCCTCTGCCCCCCGACACACGAGGGTCCAAGTGCAGTGCTGGGGTGCCTGGTGTGGGCGGGAACCTTCCAGACAGCTCAGGCCAAGTGGCGCTGTGACAGGAGCAGCAGAAGTAATGCCTTGGGCTGTTTTTAAACCCTGGAAAGGAGGCCCTCTTTCCTCTGCCCAAACCTAGATAAATCTCTGAAAGATCTGTGGCCAATACCTTTCCTGTGGTTTGCCTAAGGAGTTCTCCTGTTAAGTAGAATCAGTCTACTTCCCTTTGGCACATTGGACGTTTATTGCCTGCCGGCTTCTGAGCAGGCAGGATTTTCAGGCGGGCCTCATCGTAAGGGATTATCTTGAAAACACCTGGAAAGGGCAGGGCAGAGCTGGGGGAGGGCAGAATGGTGGAGACAGCCCTCGGTGGGGCTGGAGGGCCTTCTTTCTGGCCATGCTTCTGGTTTTTAAACATGCATCCAGCATCGCGGGCCATGGAATCTCATGGAGGAGATACGCATTTATTGAACACATGACGGTGTTGTTTTGAGTATCTAATGAGGTCAGAAGGTGAAAGACCTTAAGGAATTTAAAGCCTTAGAAAACATATAGTTGTCACGGGTAAAGAGATCATCCCTTCCCTGGCCAAACAGTAGTCAAAGATTGGCTTGCGTTTGCACACTCTGGTGGATGTTCATAGCAGCTTTATGTGTCTTTTATATGTCAATTTTCACAGTTGCCCCCCAGTGAAAACAACGCACATGGATGGATTACACAGGGGCCCAGGGAAACCTTTGGGTGTGATGGAAATGTTTGTTGTCTTGATTATGGTGATGGTTTCACCTGGTACACACGTATGTCAAAACATATCCAGTTGTGTACTTGAAGTGTGTGCAGGGGTTATACTTCCATTGGACCTCAATGACGCTGTTAAAAACAAAGATTAGCCTAGGATGGTTGTCTTCTTAGACTCTCTTTCCCCCTCCCTCATTCCCCTTCCAGAGAAAAGGTTTTGAGAGGTAGGCACATGGCTTTTCTTTGGGGTGAAAGGGGTTGAGGAAAGCTCTGTCTTTGTTGAATTTCACTGTTTCTTCCTGAAGTTTTCCCCTTGGCTGGGGAAACGAGCAGGGAAACAAGCTTCTTCCTAATTTACTGTTCTCTCTGTGCCTTCTCTCTTCCAAAGCTTTTGGCTGATGGCCTCGGTAGATTTTTGGATGGAGAACAGAATTGCATGGCACCTGCCTCCCAAGCTGGTCTTGGACCCAGCCTTTAGGACCATAAATCATCCATCACCCAATCCTCCAGTTCTCCCGTAGACCAGCCTGACTTTCTCCACCACCTGTATCCCATCCAAGGTGAACATCACTGAGAACATGGCCTCTTCATGATAATTTTTCCTAAAAACATAGAGTCATAATGATTATTTTCATCAGAGACTAGTCCAGATAAAACCTCTAGCTTCTCCAAAAACTCTGGGCTCCTTGGGGATGGGAGCTGGGGAGGAGCAGATGGCTTTAAAGATCTCTTGGCTCTACAGACCCCTCTGCCCACCCAGAGTCAGTCCCTGGCTCCTGACATCCAATCTCAACTTCATTTAATGCCTGCCAAGTCTCTCTAGGCCACAAGTCCCTGAGTCCTTTCCCTGCCTGCTTCTTGGTTTTGCTAGCGCTCTTCTGGTTTTCCAACCATAGAGTCCTGCTGAGAGTGATAACGCAAGTTTCAACAATCTTCAGTGACAAGGAGACCTTGCAAGTGAGCTCTCTGAATGTGATTGCAGAGGTAAGATCATGCTTACCCTCACACCAAGCTAAGAAGGCAGAGAGGGGTACTTTATTTAGTAGATAAAGACAGAGGATCAAGGGACTCAGTCAGTATCAGATAGAAGAGACCAGATGAGCATTTAGATCATCTGTCTCCCAGGTTGGAGCTTTCTGCTCTAGTCTCTCCACTTTTGTGGTGCATGGGGGCCTGGGAGAGGAGGAAGCAGGCAGTAATGAGGCCTCTGCTCCCAGGCCCTACTTAGCTGGTCTGAGCAAGGTAAGATAGGCGGAAGACCACCCTTCCCTGATCGGCCTGGTCCCACGTCTGCTGCCTCAGGATGGACAACCTGTGTGCTGCAGATACCCCTTCAGCTCCCAGGAGCTGACCCGGCACGTCCCTTACATAATGAGATGCTGAACTTCTGTGTCCTTTTTTCCACAGACCTCTCCCCACCCCCACACAACTCCCTCAGGAGCCCTGGAGCTTTCTGCCTAAAGGGCAGGGCAAGATAAATAAAGGGGGAGGGGGACTCCCAGCAGCAAGGGGTACGTGGAGGTCCTGGCTGGCGTCTCAACCATACCAGGCCTTCAGCAAGTCATTCTCTTCAGAAGGGCACTGTACTTGTCTACTGGGGCCGCCATAACAAAGGACCCTAGGCTGCGGGGCTTAAACAACAGAAGTTTATCTTCTCACAGTTCTGGAGGCTGAAGTCCAAGATCAAGTTGTTGGCAGCGCTGGTTTCTCCTGGGGCCTACCTCCTGGGCCTGCGGGTGGCTGCCTTCTCACTGTGCCTTCACGGGGTCATCTCTTGGTGCAGGCACATGTCCCGTGTCTCTGTCTGTGTCCTAATCTCTTCTTATAAGGCCACTAGTCATGTTGGATGAAGGTCTGCCTAATGACATTAATGGCCCCATTTTACCTTATTTACCACTTTGAAGGCCCTATCTCCAAATTTAGTCACATTCTGAGGTACCGGAGGTCAGGGCTTCAACATACGAATTTGGAGGGATACCATCCAGCCTGTAACAGGCACAAAGTCCCAGTAGGGTGGATGAGGTCTGGGTTCCTACACTGGACCTCCTGCTGCCCTCAGTGAGATCACAGCCTCTGGACTGTGGCCCTGGACTCGGAATGTGAAGCTGGGCTGGTGAGTGTGGGCCTTCTGTCCCGTAGGGGCTGCTCTTGGGCTGGGAGCGCCTGGCCCAGTGTTGCCCATAGGCCCTACCTCTAACCTCTTGCCCATTTTTCTCTTTTCCAAGCAAAACTTGTTCCCAGATCACAAAATGGTAATATAACAGCTAACATTTACTGGCGCTTCCTATGTGTTAAGACCCTAGAGTTACACATATTATTGAGTTGTCCTTCACTGTGTAGATGAGGACATTTGGGGCTCAGCGGGCCTGTGCAGAGAGGCCCAGGCCCCGCTTTGGACAAAGGGCCCCTGGCTGCCAACAGAGGGGCCTCCAGGGGACTGTGGTGCTTGAAGATCCTGAGTGCCCCATAGGAGCTGCCTCTGCAGATCTCTGTGGTTTCTCAGTGTGGCTGTCAGGTCACCGCATCCTAAAAAGACATCACGGAGATAGAAAAGAGGCAGAGGAAGGCCTCTAAGACATTCGGAGAGGAGGGGGGTCTTGTGTCAGAACAGAGTCTGAGATGGTAGAGACTTGATCATGGGTCTGGAAGCACCCCCCCCTTCCCCCCCGCCTTGAAGCTTAATGAAGGGACAGCAGAAAAAATTCTATTTTACACTAAGGCTCAAGTGAAACTTGCCTCTGTGCTTTTGTGCATACTGGAAATAGTCCAAGCCCCACAATCTCAGGCCTGGATAGACCTTCTGGACTTAATAAGAGGTCATATGAATTGTTCGGGGGGTGTGATGCAGTCAAAGGGAAAGAGGCTTGGTTGGAGTGGCAGGGGAAGGGCCCCATTTATTCAACAAAATGGTCAGATCCAGGTACCCCATCCTGCTCTGGCCTTAACTGGCTGTGTGATCTTGGACAAATAGCCTAAACCTCTCTGAGCCTCAGTTTCCTTCTATGCAAGCTGAGGATGTTAACTGCAGAATGTGTAACCCCCCTCCCGCCCCCGGCTCTCACACTCCCAGATTGTGTGGTCCATGGACCAGAAGAGATCAGCATGGCTGTCGAGGGCTGGGTGGGGCCACAAACAGCCTCCATGCATTTGACTTAGAGAACACTTTCCACGAGAGTACCTTCCCGGGAGAATAACCATTGGGGTGGTCATCAGAGACCTGAAACCATTCGGGAAGGACCATGGTGCAACTCATTATGCTGGCCATTACAGGCCTATGTAGTGGTACAGAGTGGAAGGCAAAGTGAAATAAATAAACTTTAGAACGAGACAAGTGTGGGTTGGAATCCCATCTCTGCCGTTTACTCATGATGTGTCTTTGGGCAATTTATGTAATCTTGCTGTGCTCAGATTCCGCACCAGTCAAATTGGGATAATAACACCTTCCTTCCAGAATTGATGCAAGAAATAGATTAGATCATGTATATAGAGCACTCAGCACAGTTCCTGGTAAGTTGTGAATCCTCGTTACATGGTTATTTTATATTATGATTACTGTTCATTCACAGCAGGTACTGTGGACAGAGGAACCAGGACCATTCCTCCGGGACAGGTTGGTAATGCTCCTTCTCCAGGCCTGGCCGGTCTCGCTGGACGATGAAGGTTTCCAAGAAACTAGAATCTGAGGCCTGTCAAGTAGCCAGATAGTTATTTGGCTAATTAATCGTTGAAGAAAAAGCTGGGAAGCCAAGCATAGGAGAACTTCCTGACTAATGCAAATAAATCCTCAGAGCAGTTGAAGTGTAATCATGTTTTTTACTGCAATATTTATGGAGATCTTTTGTTCTTCAATAGAGTTACATTTAAGCTCAAATGACTTCAAAGGAACAGGTAGAGGAATATGAAATGTTTTAATTGATTAATTAATGCAGCCAATTCTAATTATGCAGTTGTCATTCACGGAGCTACGGAAGATGTAACCTGCAGAAAAAAACCACAAAAAAACAAAGAACCACAGCCCAACAATTAATGTGGTTAGGTGCTGAGGCTGTTTCTAGAGCTGGACCATTTGTAAAAAGTAAGTGAATATCAATAATCATAAATGATCTTCTTGTCTGAGTGAAAGCTAGCTCTGAAAAATGCTAAAGCTACTGCAGTTGTCCATCCTGGAGGTTTTGTTTGTGTCTCTGGAAAGAGGAATTTCATTGCTAAGACACTAGATAAGAATTTAATAATTGGTCTCTTCGTTGAATGGCGTACTCTGATGTTGGTGTGGAGAGTAATGGTGGGAGAGTTTGTCCCAAACTGCAGAGAGACATAGGCCCACCAGCCTGGAGCTTGTAAGAAACTCAGACAGAGCATAACAATCACTGGTGAAAGTGGAACCAGGTAGAGGTCCCTGATTCCAGCATAGAATTTGGTTATGGATTAATAGGAAAAAAGAAAGACACAACCAGCTGCAACCTGTCTAAAGTGTACAGAATAGGTTGTTAAGAGGCATACACCAAGTCCCGAAGCAAAAAGTCCGTAACATGTACCGAGGCTGTAACACGTAAATTAGGGAAAGTGGGGTAAACTGGAACCCCTAAAGGTCTGGGGCTCACCTGTCCCACCAGCCCCTAAACCCTCCCAGTTTTCCTGGCTCCTGGTTGTGTTTCTGCCTCAGGCTGTCCTTTTGTTATCTTTTAAACTTTCTGAGCTGACTTTGCAAATCTTTTAAGCTTTGAGACGGGGGTAGAAGGAGGGGCGTGGACACGGGGTCAGGTGCTGCCCATCTTCTCACACAGGCCTGCCTTCCTGCACAGAGGACGCATCTGGGTGAGGCTGCGTGTCCCTGGGCTCCAGGAGCCTGCAATGCAGGAAGCCCCTTACTCCCCGGGAGGGAGGCCGTGTTTTGGGGGTTGACCTCCAATAAACCCTGATGACCTGTAGCTCTAGAGGGGCAGAAGAAAGCCTGAGGGAGGCTGCAGTCATCGGCAGCCCGCCAATCTGGGCTTTTTGGAGGCTGTGACCTGCAACTGGTATATTGAATCCTGCTGGTCAAATGACTTAAATTCCCTAAGGCTCAGTTTCTTCGTGTGTGAGATGGAGATAGCCCCTCCTTCCAGGATTATGGGAGGAGATAATGGGATAATCTATATGCAGGGCCTGGCTCTTAAGAAGTGCTCACCAAATGGTGCTGATTGCTACTATCATTCATTCAATCTACCTGCATAGGACCTTGCATAAAGATCCTAGGAGTCCAGGGTAGACCGTGGGAAGAAGGATGGTGGGGACGTGGGCATTAAGATAATGGGGAAGGAGCAGGCTCCCTGAACTGTTAAGAGGTCCGTCCTCCCTGCAGCTGCTGTCTAAATGGTGCAAGCAGTCTTAATGGATCCAGATACAACCTTCACTGAGACAAGAGAACATTAGAGCTGGAAAGGAGTTATCCTCATTTTACAATCGAGAAAATGAAGGCTTCCGAGAGGCCCCTTAGTGAGGACACATAGCAAGTTAATGATGATTTCAGATCAAGGTTCCGGGCTCAGCCCACGGCCCACAACGGTGTGGCTCGTTAAGATGGTACGGCAGCCCTTGAACCTGACTGAGGTCTCACGTCTCCAGTTGCTCACCTGACCCAATCTGGACAGGCCACCTCCCTCTGAGGCTGGCTGCCTTTGTCCCAAAGGCCTCCAGAGAAAGGATCTCCAGCAATTCTTCCTGGCATATTCCAGAACTGCAAACTCTCTGAGGCATGCAGTCTTCCTCAGCTCTGCCAGAGCCTTCGTGCTGCAACCCCTACAGGGGTACGAGGGTACCCCGGGCCCCGTGTGCAGCTTCTGGGGATGTACTTGCTTCCCCTTCCTCGGTGTCCTCAGTCGGGCTGTCCCGGCACGTCTCGCTCAGAGTGAGAGGTGCTGCTGAGGCTGTGATGTGAGTTCTTGAAAGTTCACTTTTGAAACAAGGACAAAAAGTTGCCTGGATCTTGGGCTCCCCGCTTGCTGAGCTCTGCAGGTCTCTGTGGGACTGGCTGTTGCCGTCAAAAAGAATAGAGCCGTCATTCTGCAGGAGGTTTTATATGGTAATAGGCTTTTTGCCTCCCAGTAATTGGAAAGGTGCTAATCTAGTGACTCATGAGCTGCATAGAAGAAAAAAAAAAAAACCCACCCTGGAAATGAAACTGCATCTGCCTCCTGAGCACCTCATCTCCTTATTTCAGCAGGGAGGACAAATTGGGGCTTTGCTGTTGGGAGCAGAGCCCTGTCATCCTGGCAACATTGCTGGAGTGACCATACCCCCTGCCTCCCCTCCAAGTGGTCCAGTGATACAGAAGGCAGGGAAGGATGGACCTCAGCCATGTTTGGGGACATAAACCCAGTCCTGGGCCATTAGGAAGAAGAGCTGGCATGTGAATGGGTTTGCAAAGGACACCGTTATTACCAAATTAGCGTTAGATCCTCCCACGGTCAGGTGAGAGTCCAAGTGTGAGTGCACACGGGTGCATCTGTGCGTTCCAGCTTGGGTCTATGTCACATGTGGGTTGGTGACCACATGGGCTTATAGCGCGCGTGTGTGCATCGTGCAGACGTGCCCTGACCCGGATGCCCATTCTCTTCTGTGGGCTTGGGCTATAAGTATTTTTACTTTCTCCATTTGTGTTGTAATCTCAGGGACCTGAGCTGAACCCCGGGATCTGACCCTCTGTGGACAGCTGGACTTTGCCTCTGCCTAGAGGTGCTTAGGGCTGCTCAGTGCCTGGACCCCCTCTCCCTGGGCTCAGGGGAGATTCACCTCGCCCACACACACGCTTGCACCCCCTCTGTCACTCTGCTGTGTTCCTTTTGCTCGGGGACAACCCTCCCCCCAATCCCAACTCCTGTCCCCTTCCCATGGGATCCTGCCACCCACAGAAGCTCCACGACCTTGGTGTACCCCCGGGACCCCGGAGTCCAGACGAGCAGAGTTTTACTAGCCATAGCCCTCCCCAGCCAGTCCAGCGGCATAGCCCAGCCTGAATCACCGTCCCCCTGAGGTCCCTCCTCCCCAACTCCTTTCATTAACTTCACTGGAGTTAATAATCCGGCAGCAATTCCATTGTCTCCTCTTAATTCCAATTTCCTTTTGTCTCAAGGGGCAAATCAGCGGAGCTCACTGGTGAAGTGGCAGGCCCCGGCTGGCGTATTAATTAGGGGAGCATTGGAGAGGCGAGAGGAACGCGCCTGCAGCATCAGGGTGCGGCTCCAGCCTCCCTCTCCCTTCACCTCTGCCCTTCCTCTTCCTTTTCCAAGCTCTGGTCACACCTGGAAGATGCCCCAGGGTTGGAATCCTGCCAGTTGTCCCACCTCAACTCACTCCAAATCAGTCTCCGGGTCACATCCTTCCACAGGCCTCCCCTCCCCGCGGCCACCACCCGGGTACACACCACCATCGGCCTCTCCCCGGCTGGGGGCGGCAGCCTCCTAACCAGCCTCCCTGCCTCCAGATTGCCCTCGTCAAATCCTTGCTCCATCCTACAACCAGATGCAGTACACGCCGCTCTTTCCAGGTACCCCTCCTGCGGTGAGTGTTGCCACACAGCTGTCCCATGTCCCCTGCACCTCCTCCTTGACATGGGCTGAACTCCCGCTCCCCCTCCAGTTTCTTGGGCATCTTTTCCTCCAGGAAGCCTTCTCTGGCCTGCAGGACTGGGCTGGGAGAGCCTTTTGAGGATTCCCAAGCAGCGCGGGCTGGTCCCTAACATCCCATTGGCTATGCTGATTCCAACTGCCCGTGGCTGGTCTGGCTTTCCAGGCCGCCAGCCTGCATTCCAGGAGAATGAAGGCTTCGGGAAGGGGAGGGGGTGGGGGGAGAAAGGGAATGAGATGCCAGTGATTCCTGCCCTCTAGCTGTGAGTTTTGAGTTGGGATATAAGCACAAGAGTCAGATGGGCTCTTTATTATTATTAGGCTTTTCATGGTTGCTAATAAAGCTGGATTGCAGAGAGTGACTTGGCCCAAAGACAAAACGAGCCCTCTACGCCTTCCTTCCCCCAGTGGCAGCAGCAGAACGGGACAACTGCTGGCCTCAGGGGCAGGGCTGCGGCCGTAGAGACCTCACTAAGTAGAGGAAGGAACCATGTGCCTGAACTGCAGCGGGCAGCTCCGTAAGGGTGGACACGTGGTCACGTGCACTTGGCCCTTTGCCTAATCTCAGCAGATAGTCACGGCTTCTTCTGAAAACAAGTGTGAAGGAAGCAGCTGCTTCTGTCCAGAGTTAAGAGAGAAACTGAGGCATATTAAAAATTTTAAGCGTTGATATGAACAAAACTTGTTTGGAATTGGGTGGCACCAAATGGGAAGTGGTTAGGAGCGCTCCGCTGACCTGAGCGGGGGCAAGACTTTTACAGAGAAGACGCGGAAGCCAAGCAAGGACACTGACCGGTTAGAGCGTAAGTGGTTGCGCTATTTGGGAAGGCCCAGCTGGCTGTTTATGATTAGTGGTCCTCACTTTGCATCCCTGGCCCTTGAGGCATCCTAGGCTTAGGCTTGGGTTTGCTCATGTGGGCCACTAAGGTATTCAAGCCACCTCACTCGGATGGCTTCCTTGCTTAAGTAATTGAACACCAGCACCAGCATATGTGTGCGTAAGCTTTTCCTTTATAGGCTGGCAGGAGTGTGGGGAGAGGTGAGGGATGTTTCTCCCTAACTGAACTGTCTCTGGTTTGCTGTCAAGCCCCAGCACCCAGTCCACACTGAATATGATCAATAACAGTTTGTTGAGTGGAGGAAAGGTCATCCATTGATTGGTTTCATCAAATCTTAGAGGTTGAAAGGATCTTGATTATGAGGAAACTGAGTCCTAAGAGCCCCTTAGGACTCACCCAAGGTCAAGGTTCAGCCTTCTTGCTGTGTGATCATGTGCCCTGCCACTCACCCCCAAGCTTCAGCTGAGGGCGAAGTCACTAGGCGGGTTGGCCATGGGAAGGCTGTATGCGGAGGGAACTGGGACAATGAGGAATGGACAGCCTGGTGCCAACTTGTGAGCCTCCCAAGTACACAGAGGATGGTTCTGGAGATGACCTTTGCTGGTCTTCTCTCTCAAA